AGAGTCCACATTATGCATCAATAGGACCGCAGAGATGCCCCTACCACTCAGTTAAACAGCATGAGTGAACCAGGTCAGTATATTTTCAGTGGATTTCGCAACTATTTCTGTCAGCAGAAGAATACGAGGGGTTCCAGTGGTGCTCAGGACTCGCAAAACATTGCGGTCATGGTGCTTTCAGCCTCTATCTAAACCTAATCCTTCATTACTTTAGTTCATATAACTTTTTACTCTCACCCTACATCCATCTAGTGGTTTCACCCGGCCTCTTTGAGTTCCTTCTGCTTAATTCACCATTTTCTAACTGTCCCTTCAGGCTTGACTCCTAATCCCTCTGCTTCCTCAGCCTGAGGAAAGAAGGAAGAAGGAGCACTGAAAGCACATCAGAGTGTCTTTGTAGTGCTCTCTGGCCATGAAGGAGAAAGAAAAGGGGGAAGTCTGGTTCAACCAATGCAGTCCTATTGTAGGTCATCCTTCATATAAACAGAATATGTTGACTTAGCTGTTAAACAATTGTACATTTCCTCACTTTTCAGAAGATTGTGATTAAAAGAAAATGAAAATTTAAAAATGGGATCATCAAAAATCATCTTTCTGAAACCAAAATGACTCTCTTAGTAGAACTCTGCTCCCCAGTCTAAAGCACAGGCTTTATCAGTGAGGTTTTATGGTGAGGTTCCTAGTTTAAGAACTGTTTTCATGTGGGTAAAATCATATGCAGATTTCTCAGGTAGGACAGAGGTTTTAGTGTTCTTTGGTCTCCCCTCTGCTCTCCAATAACACCAGGGAAAGTAGTGAGCATTTCCCTCATGATGTGGCTACTCAGTTGTGCAGCATTCCCAGTCATGTATTGGTTATAGCTGCTCCTGAGTAAAACATTCTCTTTTCTTTTTTGAGAAGTGGCTAAGCTATTTTTGTTCAAGTTTTCAAAAGAAGTCTTCTGCCTGCGGCACAAATTCAGCATAAGAAATTTCTGCCCAAATCATTAAAGAATGGTGGAGTTACAAACTACTGAAAACAGATGGAGTTTGCCATAAGAAATTGCAGATGCCATCACTTATGGCCTTATACCCTCTGAGCATTTATACTGTAACACATATTCAAATGTGAATGTGAAGCACCACTCAGCAGAGTACTTGTTTCTCTTACCTTCCATATTCTTTGAGAAAAAATAATAAAAATACAGGTTTTATGGCTGTAATAATGATCTTCAAGAAATGTATTTCCAAGTAGCTAGAGGCTGTTAGGTCAACCTTCATCTAAGCAATCAGATTACACAGTCTTCCTTACCTCAATGTCATTATTTCTCACAAAAATCAATAATTACTTTATCCTTACTTGCTGTTTGAGTTCAGCCTAACAGTGCAAACAGCACAGAAAAACACAGTGCCTCTGTTCAGAGGTGTCTGAACAGAAGAAAGGTAATGGAGTTAATTTCTAGAAGGAAGTGTCATACAGAGAGCAAAGACCTTTCAATCCTTAACTAAAAAGGCAGTAATTATACATTCTGGGGTGGAAAATCTATTATAAATGCCATTTGTAGAACAAAATCTAGCAGTAACTCTTGCTGTTTTATAATAGTGCAGAGGGAAGAGGTACATATTCTAATAATCATTAGATACAAAGAAAGACATTATGAATGAAAGTCAGTTTAGCAAGAACCACGAGATAAGACAGTTTACATTAGAATCTTGGTATCTTATTGGTGAATCCGTTTTTTTAATATCAACTTGGATTAAACTAGGGGACAAATTTAGGATTCAGGTCAACAAAGGAACAGCTGTGCATTTCCATTTTGATTTGATTTATATTGTTCCCAATCAATTTCATACAAGAGAAGCACCTTCTGGTATTACAAAGGCTCATTATAGTGAATTAGAGTGGCTCCATGGAAATCAGTACTTGTATTTGTTCAAAAGTCACACACAACAGAAGAAAACAAGCCAGACTCTTTCTACATCTAGTATCTAAAGCAAGACATCAGTGGCTACAGATAACTTGGGAAAACAACTATAAGGTTTAAACCAAGGAAACTAATTTTGCCTCACAAAAACAAACAAATAAACAAAACTAACAAAAACCCCCCAAAGTAACCTCTTGATCTCAGGAAAAGTATTCGTCAGCAAGGCCTGCCTCAATGGCTTGACTTTCTCTGTTAGTATTGCCAGATGGAACCTACACCACTAGGGAATGGTATGAATTCTGAGAGACTTCTTTTTTGTCTCTTCACATTTTCTGGACATATCTTCAAAGGAGATTAATGTTAGACCTAGCCTCTATACCAAGATTTAACAGTAAATGAAGACTGACTTACTGCAGTTCAGCCAGACCATTTTGGGTAAAATTCAGGCCTCACTGCATTGAGTGGGAGATTTCCTACAAAGATGAAGCCAGGATTTCATCTCAGCAGTCTTCTCTGTTCTTGTGTAGGAGAACTGAATACAACTAGGCAGAAATGATGCATTGTTCTTTACAGTCTGCACCTGTGTCTAATTTAGTCTTGCAGCTAGAGCTACACAGCAAAGTAGTTGACAGCTACTACAGAGAACAGTCTGGAAACTGTCAACTCAGAGGGATTCTTTTAGAGCTCTCACTTTTCAGAGTAAGTTCTTTTCTGTTTAATCAAAGGAAAAGTATTTTTGTTAAGAAACTTGACGTTCCAAATAGGAGTGCTGTTAAGCCAGGGAATAAAAATATGAAATCGCTGTTTGTTACCAATGCTGTAAATGATCTGTGAAAGCCTTCACAAACACAGCAGATGAAGACTGCTAAATCCTTCCACTTCATGACAGCACTGAACCACTGACAGAATCATGCTTTCCATAGAGAGGATTGAGCAAGTACCAGATATGTAAAGCATATATGACTAGCAAACGAAGCAGATGCCATGTTCAAGAAATAATGTAATATTGTATAGTCAGATAAAATTTCACATGTATATACATGAATAAGGTAGATTCTATACATTCACACTATTGTATTAAATCTTGCGTGGTGACAGGTCTGACAGTATGGCCTAAAAACAATGCAACATTCAAGTTGTGCAACTGTTTGTGTACACGTGCATACATGTATACATGCAAGAAAACTATCCTACCATAATTATGCACAGAGATAACAATGTTTCCATTATATGTTTCACAGAAACAGTTTGAAAATCAGTAAATATAGTTTTCTGTTGCTGCGAGTGGAAAGTTGGAGGATGAAGTCAAGGCTGAATTTGAAGTTTTGGAAAAGCTGATTAATTCAGAATTTTAAGGCAATGCTCTAAAAAGCAAAAAATTTTATAGACAAATGACTCAGAAAGGGCTGCAATTTAAAGCATTTTGCTTGACAGGTGTATATATATACACACACACAGAGGCAAAAGGATGTTCACAGTTGGAAATTACCATGAATGTATACAAAACTTATTATTTTCAGCATAGCATAAAACCTATTTAGCATTCAGGGGATGGTTTTAAATAGCGACAGATAAGCAAGTGATTATTACTATTTATTATTTTTGTATAGATATGACAGAGAATATCAATGTAGTTTTCTAATTTAATATCCCAGAGTGCTAAGATACATTCATAAGTTATTCTGTTATTATTTTGCCTCACTGGCGTTTTACTTTGTTCCAGCAGACCTTCTTGTTACTTAGCCTATCTTTAGCCTCCAGCATTTGCAATCTGCAGCTTACAAGAAATTAGGGCAATATCCATAAAAGGATGTTTTAATTTAGTTTATCCTGCCTTAGACCAAGAACGCAGGTTCATAGACCTATATTAGGTACTAAGAATAGAAATTATACTCAACTAACACTCTAGCCAACAGGAAATGCTGAAAATTGTGAGATTTTACCTCTCATAAGTGTTTAAAGCACCTGACACTGAGCTGCAGAAATGCATGTAGGTTTAGATCAACATTCATAATACCTTACAGGGGCTTAGAAGTCTAAGTTGTCTATGTTTAAACAGATGCTTAAATCACACTGTAATGACCGCCCTTTGGGATAATTGTTCAATACTGAGAACACAAATGGGAGATTTACTGGAGCAAAATTCTCACAGCCACATGGACATTGAGATATCTGAAAACTGAAGTACAGGCGATAAAGACAGTGGCTTGACTCTGGCTTCTATCTCTCCAATGCTCTCTCAGCATCCTTTTACTGGTGCTGAGATTCAAGTCTCAACTGGATTTTTCTTGATACTAGGCTTAGCTCTTTATCAGGAAAGCTTCAGCCTTTCACAAATTATTCTAAAATTTACTACCGAGCTTTTACATAGATCCAAGAGCACTACCTTTGGCTGAAACAAGTCAGTTTTGAAATCTACTTTTGTAACATCACCTTTCACAAAACCCTCACATGTACGTCATGCATGTGCCAAAAGTCAATCCGGAGTGAGTTGGTTCAAATTCCTCTGGAAGTACAAAATGACTGAATACCGAGAGCAGAGGTGAGGGGCGGCACTGGGGCACACGGGCCTATGAGTGCAGCGGGATGTAACTAATCAGAGGTAGGAAATACCTTTGGCGCACGCATCTACCTCAGCCACCGCTGCCCACGCCTCGCTTTCCAGGCTGTTTTAACCGTTTCCACCTATGGAGTTCAGCGTCTCTTATCGAAAGAAAACGAGCCGTCCGCGTAGCTGACGCCCCATCCCTCTCGACTGCACACACCGGGGTCTCGGGCCCTCGCCGCCCTCTCTGGCCGGGTCCCCGCACCGCTGGGGCGCAGCCGGGGCCGCGGGAGTCCCTCCCGGTATCCCGGCCATCCCACGCCCCGGCAGCGCAGCAGGACCGGCCCGTGCCCGCCCGGCACTGGTTCCGGCGGGACCTTGTGCGGCGGCGCTTTCCGGCCCCGGGCTCGGCCCGGGCCCGGCGGCGATTCCGTTGCCCGCGGCTGTCTCCGTGCCTGCCCGCGGTCTCCATGCGTCTCGGGTGCTGTGCCTGGGCGGCGGCGCCGGGGGGCCGCTGCGCGCAGAGTCCGCCTGCTCCTACGGCAGGTGCTGGCGGGCGGCGCGGCCGCGGCGCACGGTGCAGCCCGCCCCGAGGTCAGGGCGCTGCATAGCTCAGGTAACCAACCACCCCCGGGACCCCCCCGGCCCGGCCGCCCGCAGCTTCCCCGCTTGCTCCTGCCTCCGGCCACAGCGCCCAGCGCTGGCACCGCCGCGGGGTCTCGGGGCAGCCGCGCTCTGCTCGCAGCCAGGCTCGGGGGAGGCCGGCAGGAGGTACCGCCCCGTGGACTCGGGTTTGTCCGGACTGCGCTGCCGCCCCTGCGCCGCAGCTCGCGAGTGGGGCGGGTCCGGAGAGGGGCGGCTGAGGGAGCTCGTGGTGTTGAGCCTGGAGAGAAGGAGGTTCAGGGATGACCTTATCGCTCTCTACAGCTGCCTGAAAGGAGGTTTTAGCCAAATGGGGGGCAGTCTCTTCTCCTAGGCAGCAAGTGACAGCACGAGGGCATTGCCTCAAGCTGCGCCAGGGGAGGTTTAGGTTGGACATAGGGAAGAATTTCTTCACAGAAAGGGTGATTAGATATTGGAGTGGGCTGCCCAGGGAGGTGGTGGAGTCACCGTCCCTGCAGGTGTTTAAGAAAAGACTGGACATGACATTCAGCGCCATGGTTTGGTTGACGTGGTGGTGTTCGGCCATAGGTTGGACTTGATGATCTCAGAGGTCTTTTCCAACCTGGTTGATTCTGTGATTCTGTGGCATGAGTGTAAAGGCCAGAGTTCAGTCACAGGCTTGCAGGGATGCTTAATGTGGCTTGTCATAGTGTCTCGTCCCAGTGTTTCATCCACACTGAAGCAAGGAACAGCCCCGCAGCCTGCACCTATGATAACAGCTCTTCTCTGTAGAGCATGTTACATCTTACCATACTTTCTGTCTCTGCATCGCGTGGCTTCGTCCCTGCGCTGAGGCAGAGCCTCAGTGTTTGTGTCAGGGGCTGCCGAGGCTGGTGCGTGTCAGAGCGTGTCTGCAGGGTATGGTAATGAAATAGAGCGCTGACCTTGAGCTTGCAGATGCCATGAAGGATGACCTGAACTGCCCTGGAATATCCTCTGGTGACCTTTGAGACAGGTAACAGGCCTGTGCAGAGTAGAAGTGGTGTTTGGAAAGGGTGACCCATGCCTGTGGTAGCTGACACTTTTTAGGATAAATGCCAAAAGAAACAAAGCTCCTAAATACAGAGCGAGGGATGAGTAGCTGTAAATTAGGGAGATAAAATGGCAGCAAGTGATGCTGATGGTGGAGTACTTGCTAACACTTTTAATTACACCCCTTTAATCCCATATCTCTTCATTTTATTATTTTTTAATGTTTATTAGTTGACCTGTTCATTTCTTTGTTTAGTTTCTCAAAAGTTACTCAAGAGGAAAGTCTTTGAGGAATTGATAACTATGAAATTCCTTCAAGAATTTTTGAATAGAAAATATATCTATGCATAATATGAATATTTTAAAAAATCCTGACAGAATACACAGATTCAGAGGTGCTTTAAGGGTTTTGTGGGAACAAATGCTGAATTTGATGTAAACTGAAGAGCTGGAAAAGTGAAAATCATTGCCAGTCAAATAGTAGAGGCAAAGGAAGGTCTCTCATATGCTTTACTGCTCAATGTACAGTAAGTAACCTATACTGTATAGTACATATATAGTAGGTACGTTTACTGTTTTCTGCAACTCTGCCTGTTCAGGTTCTCTTCCTGTGCTTTCCAAAACCTGGTCAATTGCAGTTCACAGTCAAACCTGTGCTTAAAACCCAAAAGATCTCAGTAATACGTGTGGGAGTAACTGCTGAGTATAACACAGTCACTTCTGAAAACTGTGTCAGACTTCAGTATCCTAAAATGTTAATCATTGGTGTACTGGATTTAAGTGACTGTGGTAAAAATTGATAAATAATCTGAAAGAAGAAGGTGAATTGGACCGTGTGTGGGTTTTTTTTTCTGGTTCTATCACTGTGTAAAGACTAAGGAACTGGTGGATGGTGGGTGTAAGTGCTTTCCAGCACATTTCCTTTTCCAGCTTTACCTGTGTCATTATCTTTGTTGAAGTTCACATATTGGCAGCTGGGAGTGTGGTTCTGGCAATATTTTTTTTCACTGGCAAAACTTATTTAAGAAAGTTCATTCTTTCTTGCCTCTCATAACATTCCTGTAATTGTTCGTTGCCTCCGTAGTTGTACAGGGAGTTGTATGGGGGCTGCGTTGTGGTGACTGAAACGATTCCAGGGATTTGATTTACGGTGAGGCCTTTTGAACAGCTGTTGCATCAGCGCAACTGAGAAGGCAGCAAATGGAGATGGGAATTTTCAAAGCCAGTTGTCTGAAAGTTGGCAGAGTTATGCCGACTTATGTTCAAATTATTCTAACATTTAAGAGAGAAAAGACTGGTGGTAGAAAAATAATGTATTTTATTAGATATGCAGATATAGCTGGAACAAACGGATGAGCTGTCAGGCAGGTAAGTTGTGTAGTCTTTGGTAGGGTTTCACTGTTGTTCCACGAGTCAATGTTAGTATATTGTTTCTGAGTTTTATTATGTAATAGTTGTTCAAAATTTAATTTTTCCTGTTAAACAACTGTTACAGGCCTGATACATGTTGATGTGTTCTACATGTCCTGCCCATTTTAATGCATAAAATTAAAGTTGTACCCACTTGGCAAACTCAGGAACTCAGGGTAGTAAGAGATGCCACAGTGAATTTAAAAGCTGTTTTTTCAGTTTTGGGTAACTTTTCTGTAAATGGGAAGTTTTAAAAACAATCATGTTGATTTTCAGTTGTAGATTCTTTTTAGTTTAAATACACTGTTGAAATTATACTAATGTATTTGTTACCTAAGCTCTGTTTAGAATACATTGATAGTCTGGGGTTTTTTGCACTGAGTAAACTGTACTTCAGGAATCTTCATACAGTTTTAAAACACTCTGAGCTAATTCTTCACATAAGTAGCACTGGCTACAGAAGATTTGAAAGGGAACACTGGTGATGAGGTAGGCATCTGTTACCCTGTGACTGAGAGTAGCTAGTTGATATGGCTTTATACAGACAGCTATCAGAAACCTCCCACTCGGGCTTTCATGCTCATGGGGGATTTCAGCCATGCAGACGTCAGCTAGGAGAGCAATCTGGCATTGTGTATGCACTCTTGGTACCTTGTGAGCTGTGGAAATTGATGGAAATTTTGTAACACAGATGCCAGAGAGACTGGTCAGGGTTAACTCTTCACTTCATCTGCTGCTTTCAAGTAGGAAAGAATTGTGATCAGTTTGGTCATAGGTGGGAGGCTGGATTTCAGTGACCAGAACGTGATTGAGTTGCAGATCTGGAGGAAGGCTGGGAAGGTAAGCAGCAGAGTTAGGATCCTTTGATTTATGGACTGCAGGTTTTCACTTACTCAGGAAATTGGTAGGTAGAATCCTTTGTGTAACAACCACAAAGAGGAAAACTGCACAGGAGAGCTTGAAGATTTTTAAAGAAAACTTAAAGATGGCTCAGGAATGAACCACTCCACAGTAGCAAGAGGCCTGCTTGGCCAAGCAGGGAACTTCTCAATGAACTACAGTACAAAAAGGGAGCATACAAGTCCAAACAAGGACAGACAACAGAAGTGTAAAAGCACAATTTGGTGTGTAGGGACAAAATCCCTACCCTCTTGTCAGAGTGCAGATCTTAAGTCTGGAAGGACTCTGATAAGCTTGAGAACTGTGTCTTGGGTTTAATCTGTGAAAGTTGAAAAGGAAGTATGAAGTTCTGCCTCTGGACTAAAGTTTTGCTATGTGCCACTGTAGACTGGGGAGGGACTGGCTGAGTAGCAACTTTGGTGAAAAGGCTGTGGGGTTGCAGTGTATGTCTAGTTGAATATGAGCCAACACCTCATAGCAATTAAGGTGAATCATAGACTGGACTACATTAGAAGCATGGGCAATAGCAAAGGGAGAGTTCATCTCTAGCACTGGTGGGGCTCTGCCTGGAATGCTGAGTCCAATTGCAGGTTCTATAATTTTAGGAGATAATGAGAAACTGATGGAGTCCGCTGGAGGGTTACCAAAATTGTGAGGGACCTAGAGCACCTCACGCTGAAGAGAAGCTGAGGGATGTGGGTTTGTTTGTTTTGCAACAGGCCTAACGGAGGAGAAATCTGTTGGCAACTTAACAATTATAATTACAAAAATGATTAAGTCTAACTCTATAGCAGCAGATAATATATCAAAAGGCAGTCATCACAAACTAGGGTCTGGGAGGCTCGAACTGGACAGTGGGACAAACCTTTTTGTTAGGAGACTAGTACAGCAGGGGAAGAGGTTGTCTAGAATGGCTGTGGAACATCTGTCCTTGAAGGTTTTTGAGATTCAGTCAGACAGAACCATAGCTCATCAGATCTTGTCTTGGAGGTTAAATGATGTTGAGCAGGGAGTTGGAGAAGATCACCAGTATTTCTGAAGTGTTTTGGTAATTGACGAAATGGACATCTTAGCACTTCTTTCACATGATAAGTGTATTATGAAGAGATATTCTGAAATATGTATATCAAGTCTATGGGAGATCATCATGCTATTAAACATTTAAGACTGACTTTTCACATCATCACACTTTTGTAATTAAGCACTATCAGACTCCCTACCTTCAAGGTATGCTATTGGCCCAAACAAAAAAAAAAACTCTCTGCTAAGTAAAGATTGTAAGCTTTCTACATGACTGGATGTCAGATAAGATTCCATGCTCATGTTGTTGATTTTCTACTAATGCAGAAAAATGAAGGAAAAGATTCACTTCCTGGAGTAAATACCAATATTTTGGTTTAATGATGCTTTGGATTTTGATTAGTAAAGACAATCATTAGCCTAAAACAGACAATTGAAAACTCCAGCGTTAGCTTCAAAAGTAAAAATTAAAAAAAGAGGAGGTCTAACAAGAATGTTGAGTAGAAATAGAGTAGTATTCAAATTTTATGTTTGAAGTAATTATTTTGGTTTTTTAGAGGAAAAGACGAGGTCATAAAAAAGGGCAACTGGAGTGGATTTTTTTGGTTAGATTGGAGATAGGTTTTTTTGTGTAAACATTCATCTATTTTG